GCTCTGATCTATTGAGTCGGAGAGACATTTCAATTAAATTATTGTCGTATAACATTTTGTAAATGTTTTTGTCTAATTTCTAATCTAATTTTGGTTAATTCTAATCTAGTAAGGTCTTGTTCGAGACTTATGGTCGCACCAGATGAGTTAGGACTGGGGTGTATAACTCATAGAGTAATTTCGGATAGGGTACACCGTCTGCTCGTCACGCTATCTTATTTTCGGCCGGATAGATTCGTGCAACTTCTTAGTCTAATACCGATCCTAATCTTACTCTTATACTATCTAGTCTCAGGTTGTTTAACTAGTCTCTGCTAGGCTCAATAGATCTAGGGTATACTGGTTTATTGCGGCTGCTGAAGTGCTCGGGAGAGTCCAACTAATTTCTAAGTTAAATTCAAATCTCTCTGGTGCTGAAATTACAAGTAACTTCAGCACTTACAAATAAGTGGGTTGTTAGTTAGATGGATCATGATTGGTTAATATTAAATACTTTACATTGGTAAAACATTTAATTTATCCAATCATAAAATATAGTTTAGATCAGGTTCCACCGTTCTTGGTTCCAGATTTAAAATCAAAACTTTGGCTCGAAATCCCTTTTTTAAATTAGAGAGCCAGTCAATTATTTGGTTTGCATTAGTAAAAAATTTTTCATTTTATTTGAAAAATGAGCTGACACATTACTTCACTTTTTCCCACAAAAATCGGCTAATTTAAGGTCGAATTTTCTTTGGTTCCAGTTGACGTAACTTGACCACACAGTTTAATTTGATTCAAAGTGCCGGCATTTTGTCCCGCAACAAGCCAGTCGTCACGGATGGCAAGCAGGAAGTAATGCCATATGTTCATTGCACTTGATAGGAAGTGTAATAAAAATCACATTAGCCAGCAAAGCTGAAAATTTGACCGCACTTTTTTGATTTATCGTTCGCTGGAGTCATCCACGCGATGGTACAAATATCTCAAATTACTATTTATATATATTATTATTATTATATGCATGTAGAAAATTGAGCAATAAAAATTCAATTATACCAACGGGAAGTGAAGAAATTTGGTGCACGGCTGACACTAGAGAGACTAATTATGTTTTCCAAAAGTTTTACCGCAAAAAAAAAGAAAACAAGAGCATCCGGTCACATTTTTCGCAAAACAAAGGTTTAAGCAGAAATGCACAAAAAAACTATCCGTGATACACTCTACTTTAAGTTAAAACATTTCGTCTGTGATGAGAAAGGGCAAATATGATCTGTGCAGCTTTTTATTGAGAACCGCTTTAGAACCAACATTCCTCACATACCATAAAAGCCATAAAACTCTGTTAGATCATAGTTTTGAGCGACTGAAGTTTTGCTATGATTAATTGTACACGAACAATGGTATTTTTTAAGAACGGACTTCGACAGCTTGTCTATTTCATCTTCTGCATCAGCCGAAAAGTCGGTGATTCGAGGCCCAACATAAACCGCGCTCGATGCTTGCGAGTGAGAAAACGAGTCTCAGCCAAGAAAAAAAACCAAAAATGTAGTTCCTAAGCAGGAGCACAACAACGGTTCGCTGCAAAGAGCTGAACAACTCATATGTTGGTTCATTCCCTTGTGAATTAACGGTCTTAATCTTCTCATTAAGGAGACCTTCATACCCCAATTTAGGTCACCATCCTAACTCGATATCATATAATTTTAAAATTTTTTGACCATACTGTCTCAGGTGAACGCCGTTTTATCTTCTGATCATCTCAACCATGGATCAAAGGTTGTTCTAAATTCCCGCTAATACGTTTATGGCAACCTTTGCAATGGTAAGCTTTGAAATCATCCGTTAGTCACTTTCATCAATAAATTTATAAAAAAATTTAGAGAATTTATGATTTTATAACTCGGCGTTGACCGTGTATAGAATACTTTACAATCTCTATCTGGTATTTATCGGTGATTGGCTTACATAATAAAACAAACTACAAAAAGTTCAAACTAAACCTCAAAAAGGCAGTATTTTTAATATTGTATTTTGGTTTGATATTTGAAAAATGATATTACTCGAAATAGATTTCAAAATTTTAATCTTTACCTAATCCCACTGGGAATTTCGGATTTCATTTTATGTGCCAAACCATGTAATTACATCTGCCTTCAATTCCGATGAAAAGCAAAGAGTGTAAAGTTCAAAACCTTTTTTTAAACTTTGATTTTATCTTTTCTTCTTTAATTTTTTCTTTTCTTTTGAATATTTTTGATATGATACGCTTAGAGACATTTTGCTACTCTTATCAGTATATTTATTAGCGCACGATTTCCTTCAAAGATGAGCAAGCGCGGTAAAAAGTATAAAGATGCAAGTTCTATAATTTATCTTACCAGGGCTATAACTCATACAACTGATGTAGGGATATCCATGCTCAAAGCAAAAAAATATATAATTTTAATTTTGTTCAATATTTTTAGAAAGAACAGAACAACAAAAGAACAAAATAATTTAACATTTTGTAGAAAGAGTTGAAAAAATACAAAACAGGAGTAGCTTTAAACACTAAAAAAATTAAGTTTCAAAAATCAGGCCGAAACACGATTTTAGTCTAAATGAACATGTGAACTTTAAACAATGCGATTAAATAATGAAGCATTTTTTATTTTTGAATGAATGAGTCATGAATGTACCCTTAGTGTAAATTCCCTCACTTGTGCCGAAAAGTTCATTTCAATTGAAGTCGCTACCAAGAGCACTTACCTATTTTTCACTGTGGCACCTGATTTTTTTTAGTGCACGCCTCAGTCATCTCAAAGTTTTAGTATCACTTAATATTAAAGCGCCTTTCTTGATTCACTTAAAAAAAACCCAAACTGATCTTAATTTTTTTTTCATTGCAGAACATTTTTCAAGTATGTGCAATTTCTGTTTTTTTTTAAATTTTGTTTACACATTAGGGGCAATTTGAGTGTTTTTTCATCTAGTCGAAATGAAGCATTGACCTTTTAATAGTGATTGACACATGAACATGTTGCGACTTAAAAGTGAATTAGCAAGGCTAACATAGTAAGCTAGGTTGGGAAATTGTTTAAATCAAAGTTAGACCAATGTGCAACTAATTTTGGTGCTGGCTGACAGACCATTTAAACTTTTTCATGAAACATAAATTTTGACAAGTCACTATTTAAATAAAAGGAACGATCTTTTGTTGAAAATGAGTTGAACACCCTTTTAAAAAAGACTGCAGATTACGACGATTAAATAATTATTTTAAAAACGACTACAGTAGAGAAATATAAATTTTATGTGATTTAGCATTTTATTCTACATCGCCTAGTGAATTCCGTATTTTCAGAAAACTATTTTGATGTTGCTCAGCAAATACAGTGACGCGATATATTAAATCAAAAGCTTAGAAAAAATATTCTTTTGAAACGAAGCTTCATCTGATTAAAAATTGAACTAGGTCTTATTTTGTTCGCATTGATAGTGCCAGTATATTTTCTTCTTTTTTCAATTATTCATCTTCCAATTATGGACTTTATGAATTAGTGAAAAAATATATATACTTTTCCGATTTTTATTGGTCAAATTTGAATAAAAAGCAAAAAAATTTCCAGGCACAAAAACAAGTCCATCGAATTTCCCGAATGACTTAGTCCGTTATGAAAAATTATTCCAAATTTTAAAAATGAGGAATATGGAAATTACGGCCGCGGGGTTAATAAGGGCAATAAAAATTCAACGGGATCATTTTTGCCCGGGTGATTCCCGGGAATGATAACAGGAAAAAAGCCCCGTGGGTGATATAAACCCTTAATGATGTTCCGAGGGAGTGATGGAAAAAAGTGAGTTGCAGTGAATGGCAAATGGGTATTTCCAAAACAGGACATTAAAGCACCATTTGGTCAGGTGTATCGCTTGAGTGTTATAAATTGTAACATTTGAGTGCTATAATCCTGTTCAAAGTTCAAAGCTTACACATCATGTGTAAGCTTTGAATTTTTTTTAGGTCGACCAATTTGATTTTCTGAGCTCTACCAAAACTAATAAATCACTAAATCACTATAAAAACCCTATTTTGACCAAATTTTTTGCGTAGCAGGCAAATTTTTGAAAAAAATGCCAAAAAATGCGTTTTAGTCACTTTTTGGAAAATTTCGACCAAAAAATCACGCGCGCCCCCATCAAAATTACTATATTTTGTATTTTGGCGCCGAAGACGCCTTTAGAAAAATTTTAAGGTCAGTGAGCCAAAAATGGATATCTCAAAATAGTACAAAGGAGGGTCCCCCAGACCCGTCCTCCCCCCCCCCCCCCCCCTAAGTCTGCTGGTGCTCTGCGATATGTCTTGATATTTTTCATATTCGATTTTTCCTGAATATATAAAGCAATCTTCGTTTTGAGTTTTGCTGTAAAATTTGCATCCAATAGTCATCAATACAAAAAAAAACGTATGAAAAATTGTTATTGAATTAATTTCCAAATTCTTATTGAATCAATCCCACAATTTGTCGCTCCAAAATCTACAGTAAAGCACAAAAATCATACCAAATTTTTCTCGAAAAAAGGAGAAAGGTTTGAAAATTCTTAAAAGCAATTCGAAAAATTCTATAGCAATATTTACTATTTTACTATTCAAAAAGCTTAAGATTATATCTACTGTTGATAAACTCATAGCGTCGATGAAAGGTTAAACAAAATGATTCATCGCTTTTGTCAAACAACTTTTTAACCTGGAAAAAATGTTTCTTCCAATTTGAAAACGCTCGATAATCGCAACCATAAAAGTAGTTTTTATTGATATATAATTAACATGACATATTGTAAATTGAAACATACATTTGTTGAAACATACATACATCTTCAAATCAGTCAAATCAACACATAAACTTAACAAAAAGGTCAGTTTTTCAAAGCTTTTTAAAATTTTGAAAATGCGGAAAAGAAAAGAAGACAAAATATTGTCATCCAAGGCTTAGTTAGTTCTTTAATAGCTCAGTTGAAAATTATTTGAATGGTTCGCTAACCTGTTCGTTGGGCTGGCCATGATGCTGGAATGGGGCTGAAGTGTCAACTGGCTCTGAAATCTGTCTCCGTCCTCCCCCCGAACCCCCCGGTGGGTGCATTAGGAGGCTGTTGCTGCTGTATGTGGAGGGAGTCTGAGCCTGTGAAGGGTGGGAGGAAGAAGGGCGTCTGCCTACTGCACTGCTACTCACAGCTGTCATTGGGTAGTCTAAATAAAACAGTTATTTAGACTACAAATTCTTAAATAAAAATTTTCGACAAATTTTTAAATAAAAATTTGTCGAAAGCTTTTTTAAGGGTTTTTGTTAAGACATAACAATCCATGAGCCATTTCCTATTTTATTCGACTCGCTTTCAAATTATAGATAACTTAAACTTTTTTGAGATTCATTGATTTTCATACTAAAGAAACGACCAACAAATGAGCCGTTCAACTCCTCGCGGAGAATCGCTGTTGTGCCACTGTTTAAGAACTACATGCAACCTTGTGGCTATTTTACTGGGGTGGGTAATTTTGCCTCACCCTCAAGCAATAATGACGGATCATGGTGGGCCTGGAACGTCTGACCTTTTGGTTTAGAGGCGGAGACGTAACCACGTCACCACTGTTTCCTATCCGCTCCGCCACATCTTACTTTACATTCATTTCTTTAGGTATTTTTGTATTTTTTTTGAGTTTTTCAATTCAAAATGAACGAACTCATTATTTTGATCACTCACAAAAACCCCTAGAAAAAAATACTCCATGGTATAAATCGAAAATTTGTAGTGATAGTTGACCGTTTATGAGAAAAAAAAATTATATTTTTTCAAAAAAAATTCAAACGTTTTTTTTTAAAACTTTTATGGCTATCTACTAAATATTGGCACCTCAAATTAACCATTGTAAAAACTAAATGACTTTTTCATTCAGCCAAAAAAAAATAAAATATGAAAATTGGCATGATTTTAAAAATAACTGGAAAATAATTTTTTAAGTTACATCCAACGTGTTACAAATATGTGCTGAAGTTTATATGGAGTAAATTCTGTCAATTCAGTTTTGGACTAGACTTTTGAGAGACAAAATGGCTGCGAAAGAGCAAAAAGTTGGCTATTATCCATTGACAACGACAACATCAGTTCATTTCAAACGTCGTCTCGTAGACTGAAACCGCTTCTTATAAACACTATCGGTCGGTGTGTGGAATAAAAAAGAAGCCAAAGGGACCAAATTAACTGACCCTCCCCTAAAGTAGTTCAGGAGGGGGGGGGGGGTTGTTAACTTGGCTCTAGGATGAAACTTTTAGTCAGACAGAATCTAGCGTTTTGCACGCAGCGTTAAATATTTTTAGTCCACAATAATTTTTGGTGGCGGAGGATCTTAACAAGGGGAAGGATGTTAACTTGCTCCAATCGAATAAAGCTCGAAATATTTCAGTGCCAGATGTCACAGCAACTTCAGTTTTGCTAGAAACGAATTTAGTCTCAAGTATTCGAATGAATAAAAAGTTACCGAATGACCAAAAAAACATCGACTGATGTGCACAATTTTATAGTTAGCTTCGAACGTCCAAAAGATTTTCCATTTTATTAGGATTCAATGTCATTTTTACTTTAACTACAATGCATTTTGTTGAAGTATTTGCGATACACAAACCTACTGGTGTTTTAACTTCTATGAATAAAAAAATACAATCAAATAGTCCCCCTTCAAAAAATCTAAACCATCGCGTTTTCATTTGATGGAAGAGTGAATTTGGATTGAACTTACGAAAAATAGGATACTTTTGGCAGCAATAAATTATTAAAACAATCAATCATATCAACATAATGATATTCAAAAAGGAGGAGTTTGCATAATGAAATTGAGATGAATTAAAAGTCCGGGCGGCAAAAAAGACCCTCAAAATTTCCATTTTAGATTAAGAGTGTGAATTTATTTCAGAGAGCTGATGAAAAAACCGTGGAAAATTTTTCCGTTGAACTTGCAATTTGAATGGAAAAGAGCAGACCTGAGATGTTTTTTTTTCTTCAAGGAGAAATTAAAATTAGTAATCAGACATCTGATAAAATTTTCAGAAAGTCCAATTTGGAACAAAAGAAAAGATGAAAACAAAATTAATTCAACTCGCCACTTCGCAGTTGATAGTTTCAGAAAACTTGAAGGGAAGCATGCCGATTTTGATACCGCTTTGAAATTGATAACATCTTTCAAAAGGAACTTGAAGCTCAAATTGAAATTAAAAAACTTTCAATATGATAGCGAGGGTATATTTTTGGCCTTTGAATTTAACGCTTTATTGTGTCACATTAAACTTCCCTTGTACTATATATGACCCGAAAATTGAACAAAAAATTGAACCAATTTTTTTGCAGCCAAAAAGGGAAATCAAGCATAATTTCACCATGATTAGTCGCACACTATAGCACGGACTGAAAAACTAAGTCGCCCACAGGGATATTACATTTGATATGATGCAGTAGCGTGCCAAGGGGGTTTAAATAAGCAGTGATCAAACCCCCTTCACTTTTTGACTCACTTGCCTGAAATGTTTATAACCCCCCCCCCCCCCCTTAGTATTTTTTTTCCTGCACCAATTTTTATTGCATCCACATAAAATGTGAAAACTTAACATTTCAGTGGAAGGAAACGCACAAGGGGGTGATGATTGGTTCTCCAATTAAGATAAGCGAAGCTGCATTTGAAGGCTAATAGGGAAAGTTTGTCAGAGGACCAGGGCAGAGTCTTTGGAAAAAGACAAATGGGAGAATGAAAAAGGGCATTTAATTCAGACATGGATAAGACCAATTTAAAGTCATGCTGGCGCTCCAGACTGTCATCGCAAGAGACAACTCCCATCAGGAAAAGACAGGGGGGTCATTTATAGTGCTTGGAATTGGAGGGGGCGTTGATTTATTTCACATTTCATTCTGATTTTCATAAGTGCCCTGAACATTGCTACACTCGGGTTCTAAAAAGACAAGAGGATGTCAAAATAAAATTTAATAAAAGACTACCCCTGTCTTGTTAATGCTTGATTGATAGCCTTAATCAAGTTAGCCCTCGTCGCATTATAATATTTAATTTGTGATGAAAGAATCAAGCGAGACTGGTTTAGTTAAGAAAAAAGATAAAAGAGTAGGGGAAAGTTGTGACAATTTTTTTTCAGCAAAAACTGTAGAAAAAAAATGTTCAAGCTGAAAAAACTATAAACTTGTTGTAACTTCATCAAAAAAATTCAGGAAAAAGTTCAGTTGTTACTTGGACAACTAAAAATTTACATGAAAAAAATTCACATTGCAGTTTAAAAGGTGGTTGAACCCTTTTATATTACACTTGTACCATTTGACATTCCGCTCTGTTCTCCTAAAAAGTAGCAGGATCGATTTCCAAAAAGAGCATTAGAGCAGCTCAACTGCAGCATAAGAAAAAAACGTCCAGTTGGGAATTATAAAACCGATTGGGGTCTTAAAATTAGATCGATTAAATATGTCCTCTCAGTTCATCCCTAATGTAAGCTACCTGTCACTAGGCGACTTCCTTAATTTCCACACCCTTGGGTTACAATCACCCCAATACACCCACCCAATACTTCCTCGACACCCCCTTTTTTCACCGCTTGCAATCCACCTCATTCCTTTTTCTACCCGTTCAAAGCCCACCTGAAAATCCTTTGAGTCAACTCGTTAAAATTTCCCCCACGGCAGAATGAAAAAAATGCGATCGATCTCTATTCAGCAGAATTAGACTCCGAATTGTTCCCCCTTAAATTGATACCTGCCAAAGAACAAAAAACATGACGTTATTTTTTCAGTTGCGTCAAAGTTTTTCTGCGTCGCCCCGAAGGTTTCTAGTTGAAATAAAGACATTCTGACGTTAGATACGCTAAGTCATGCTGGTTAAATTAGCCTCTCTTTTGAACATCAATTTAGTTTTTCCATTGATGACTCTGAATTAAATTGGGGTCTATTTTGTGACCTTTTCAATGCTCTAGTTCAATTTTTCAAAGAATTTTATTTCAAAACGACCACAATTTCTAAATTCTGATCAGACTTTAGATAGGAATTGCAAAAAATTATGCGTAAAACAAACTCTGGTTTCGATTGTAATTTTTACTGTTTTAAGCTCTTTTTACTCGTTTTGTTACTCGTTTTACTTCCAATTTTGGGCGGCAAACTTCATTTTTTTAATGAAAAGAAATATTCGTTAGGTTTTTTGATCTAAGAAATTGCAAATCCTTAAACCTGTCTCACATAAAAGACTATTTTATTGAACAGATTAAGAAAACTGTCTTTAAGAAAATTCTCAGCGAAACAGAATTATGTTAAATCTGTAAAGAATTTTTATTGCCTTTGATTTATATTTTACAAGAAAGGAAAGTTGGGAATTAACAAACAAAGTGCGGTTTGATCCGTGTGGTTTTTATGGACTTGTATATTGGCATGAAAAAGCTAGATTTAAAGTGGGCGATAACTTAATCCCCTTTCATTCAATTTCACCCCCTCCGAACTGTAGCTAGTATTTCATGACACACTGAATGACAAGTTAAAAAAATGTCTTTTTATTAAGTGTCAAAATGACTCGTAAATAAACACTGTGCCCGCTCAGCAGGTAACTTCAATGCAATTATAATTTTAAGTTACGTTTATGATGATTGCTAAAATTAGATTGGTAAACTTTAATTTGTTCGGGGATAATGTTGAGGCCGTGACAGGTTAGCATGAGTCAGAGTGATTAGCTATTTTTTTTCATCATCAGAACTTAATAACAATGAATGCAATGAATACAATTACATAGTTAATTGCAGTGGCGGATTAAGGGGGGAGGGGAGTGCAAACGACTTTGTCGTTCAATCATGGATCCGACCCCTGGTCACTCAAAGCCCCCCCCCCCCCCCCTCTTTGGTAGTGTTTCACGACTTCCATGTCTCGGTCGAAGTACCCTAAAACTTGCACTGTTTCAAAGCGGAATAAAATCCACAATTATAAACATGAAAATTTTTTGGTTAAACAAAAACTGAAAAAAAAACTGAAAAAAAGTTTCCGATTTGGGAAACAGGAAAAGAATAGAAACATTTAGGAAGACAAAGACTCACAAATCAGCAAAAAAACTAATTCGGTTATTCATTAAAAACCTTATTTTTTGAATGGATTATGGAAGCCCAACATATTTGCATTAGTAAACCAACATGTCTTAGTAAACAAATTTTTCTTGTCATCTGAATGAAATAATTCCTGCAAATAATCTGTCAATACCAATAAAAGTAAAAACCTGATCGCACTAATCTGTTTTGGCATTTTTGACTAAATTAAACATTTACTTTCGCTGATGCACACCCTATTTTGGCAAATAAATTTATGAAGATTAGCCAAATTATTTGGGTCATTTGCCTTTTTTATGATGTTTTTGTTCTTTTTTTTTCAGTTTAACCTTCATTTTTTTGATAAATTAAATTATAACTGCAGGGAGATTTTTTCACAGAAAAATAAAAAAAATTAGTGGAAGGCATAATAACACACTGTTGTAAAAAAAGATAAGCTTAACTTAGCATTGTAATAATATGGGTGAAATAGCCCCGGTCAATTTAAGTTTTCCGCTAGTTGAAATGCATCTGGGAAATCAATGAGTTGATTTAGAGTCCAGTGAGATAATCTATTAAGAAGTTGAATGAATCATCAACGAGGAGTCGACGATAGCCGGGAGGAGTTTGGTAGGAGGAGGGAGGGGGGGGGGGGTTAAGGGGAAAAGACGAGGGGGAAATAAAAAAACAGGACTTGATCTGACTACAGGAAGTTATTAAATTACGGTCGGGACATAATTAATCATTTTTCAGTTCCTGAATTATTAATCCAAGCGATGAAAAATGGTTCAGGAGATTGATTTTGCAGTTGACGAAATATCATAATTTTGGAAGAATTGCCATCATTTTACTCTTTCAATCGAATGGAGCATTTTTTCCTATTTCACACGATAAAAAGCAGAAGACTTCTTTGACTTCATGAACAAAAATGGCAGAAATATATACGCCTTTGAAATTACAATTTTGAAAAAATGAAATTGTTCCATTTTTTCCTAAAAACAGACAGCACCTGCGGCAATTTCCACAAATTGACATTTGAACGGATCTAGTTGAATTGTTCAATTTTTGGACTAAATCAAAATTTATGAATAGAATATAAACTGCTTAGCAAAATCCGGACGTTTAAGCATATGTGGCTAATTTTGACTGCTTCAGACTCTTAATTAGATGAAAAAATACAAGTCAGTTACTGGAAGAGTTCGTATGAACAATTACTACTTCAGCTTTTTGAGTCTATCGCAAAAAAAAATGCTCGCAGGCCGCAATGACTGACATTTTTACGGGCTATTTGAAATAAAAAAATTTGACAGCCCACTTCTTCATGATTTAGTTACAATATGAAGTAAACATCAATACGAATAAATAGGACGTAATTTAATACCAGTGGAATCGAAAAGCAGCACAGAAACTTCTGACCAACTGCATGTTCATTGTTAGGCCCAATTCAACAGTTTAATAAGTTCCTCTCAATTGCCTGGATCTAAAGTTGTCAAAAAAGACTGCCGTTAATTTCACTGGCAACTCATAAGGGTTAAAAAAAAGGTGTCACATTAAAAAACTATTGAACGTAATTGGGATTCCAAAAAAAAAATTTTAACAAAAAATTTCTCAATGCCGAGAAAAACCTATCCGAATTTTTCCTTAAATAAACAAGACTGTTCGCATATCAGGGCAAAGCCCTAAATGTTCCTACTGCCCCTTAATCGGTATGGAATAGTTGTTGTTTGCTAAAGAAAATATTTTATAACCAGAAACTTTGGACAATATTTTCAAATTTTTGACAATTAGTTAATGCGACTGATTAGCTTATCTCAGTTTATTTTGGAACATTTTGTTGTGCGGGATAATTCTCCGCGCATAAACAAATCTCATTAGATTTTCGGCATCATAATTAAAATCTTCTAATCGCGCATAAATTAATTTAAAGCATGACCAAATTGGCAATTTTCAGAACCCCATAACTATACAAAAATTATCGGAGGGAAAAAATCTCTTTACATTTGAACTAATGGAGTCGACAAACTTATTGGGGTTTGAAATTTTTTTTTGTAAGTAACTATTATTTCGATCGGCCAAAAACCACTAAGAAAACCACCCCGAGCACAAATATTCCGCATTTCTTCGGAAGTCGGAACAATAAGAAAAGAACTTGAACAGAAGTTAAAGGCCGACCTCCAGATTTAGTTCCACTAGAATTCTACTAGTCGGAACAATAAGAAAAGAACTTGAACAGAAGTTAAAGAACGACCTCCAAATTTAGTTCCACTAGAATTCTACTAGTCGGAACAATAAGAAAAGAACTTGAACAGAAGTTAAAGAACGACCTCCAGATTTAGTTCCACTAGAATTCTACTAGTCGGAACAATAAGAAAAGAACTTGAACAGAAGTTAAAGGCCGACCTCCAGATTTAGTTCCACTAGAATTCTACTAGTCGGAACAATAAGAAAAGAACTTGAACAGAAGTTAAAGAACGACCTCCAAATTTAGTTCCACTAGAATTCTACTAGTCGGAACAATAAGAAAAGAACTTGAACAGAAGTTAAAGAACGACCTCCAGATTTAGTTCCACTAGAATTCTACTAGTCGGAACAATAAGAAAAGAACTTGAACAGAAGTTAAAGGCCGACCTCCAGATTTAGTTCCACTAGAATTCTACTAGTCGGAACAATAAGAAAAGAACTTGAACAGAAGTTAAAGAACGCCCTCGAGATTTAGTTCCACTAGAATTCTACTAGCCGGAACAATAAGAAAAGAACTTGAACAGAAGTTAAAGAACGACCTCCAGATTTAAAAATAATAGAATTAATTCTACGCGAATTATTTATGGGTGACGATTGAGCCCACACCCTAAACATACTCCATATTGGAGTGAGACAAGCTAATTGGTCGTACTTCTTCCATGTGTGACACAAATTAAACACTTAGTATTTGATGTTTTTATCAGCACAAAGTACATAGTTTGTCAGCTTTGACCTTCGTGGCTTTGACCTGATATAAAATCACTTTTGAAACACTATATTAACTATTCAGTAGCGATTCGTGCATTTTCCACCTATTTCAATAGCCTTGTTTGTATTAGTAAAAACATGAAGTGTTGGACAACAATTTTGAAAAAAAAAGTTTTCTTTAATTTTCAATTTTTCTTAAACAAAGTCTGGATATTCTGTGCTATTTGACCGAAAACCAGCTGTTCTTATTTCAGTTTTCCTTTTCTTTCATGAGTGAAGCAAAAACTTGCTTTGAGTGAGGGAAAATTTTTGGTGTCAAATGGTTCATCTACAAATTTTCGGTTTCGACAATTTATCATGTTCCAATTTGAAATCCAGATTGCTGAAAAACATTGCTATTATGCAGGGGTGGATTAAAGGGCCGAGAGGGGGCGAACCGCTCCCTTTCAGCGAATCGATTACTTTGCAACCAAAAAACATTTACTTTTCGACATCATCTAAACACTTTTCGAACACTTATTGATCGACCAAAGCTAAGTTTCTTAAGAAGCGCAAGAAACCCAAAACATTTTACGATGAAGGGAGGAGCGCGCACCGAAAAATTGCAACTTTTTTATCAGTATTTTTCAATAAGTCCCAGAACTATTTTTTTTTGCTGATTGACAAGGCCTGTTTTTCAAAAAAAAAATGGCAAGATGAGGTCTTAATAGTTTTTCTGTAAAATTCAGAAAATCAGTTTGGTCGACCAAATTTTGCCTCATCCTAGATCTGCCCCCACTACTATATGTGTAAACTTTTTCTTTCCACATGCCCAAAGGTGGTGATTTTAGTTCCAATTACTCATCCGCCAAATTGCAAGGTGTCGAGGAAAACTATTCTGAAAACTCTGTTTTCAGATCAGATTAGATGAAGTTTGATTAGGGGCAGGGATTCGTCAAGATTAAGAATTTCTCAAAATTTGAAAACACATTGATAATTTTTGATTTCTCTTCAAATGTCTTGTTAAGTTGGTTGGCGCCTAGCTATTTTAACTGCATTTGTTGACTTTGTGTCTCAAATTGCCTCAATTTTTTTCCGTTTGGCTCGCTAAACAAAAAAGCCAAGATGTGAAAAGCGTATCAAAAATAATATTTTTAGATATGCAATAAAAATCATAATCTAAGCTCAGATGCGCGCTCTTGTTTGCAATTGCTGACTTCTTATCCATTAATGATGCAATAAACTGCATATATTCGCGCTTTTACAACACATTTGGCCCTAGGCCTAAGACAACATTCATTATACTCACTGCAGCTTTTAGCATCCTTGTTCTGTGGTTTATTATACCATCAGTGATCCCATTTTACTATCGCCATTCATCAAAACTCTCGCGTCTATTTAACTAAGGTCCCCCTCCATGGGGAATAGCGGGGGAGTTGATGAGAGCAGTAAATTATGCAGAAGGTGTAAAAACATTTAAATTTGAGTCTAAAATCTGCCTGCCTTACCCAAAAACAGTTGATTTTTCTTTATTCCTCTTCATTTTTGATGCTAATGTGAAATTGGAGATTTATTTGTGATGACAATTTTTTTGACTGAAGACTGCGTGAAACTGTATTTGATTGAAATACTATTTCAAAAAGTAGACAAAAAACGAAATTTCTGTGATAATCGAATTTAAAAAATGGATTTACCATGATCATTCATATGTTAATGGACATCACAGAGTTGTATCCCCAGGAAATATCTTTCATTCAAAAAAGTTGAATCAATCTTGCTCTACGATTTTTTTTTCACATCACGAGCACGAGACCTTCAAAGTCATTAGTAATCGCTTTGAATCCTTATCTTTAGAAGTGTGATTTTCGGCCAAGAAGAATTTATGCTAATTGAACTCACTGTAGGGTAACGTTGATTCTTGTGACGTAATGATTCCATCATAAGGAGGTGTCGGCGCATTATTCCCCATGTGGTATGGAGGCTGCTCCACCGTCACGTGACCTTCTAGCTTCAGTTTAGGCAGGGGGGAGGGGACCTGTGCGTATGAAACTGCCCCGGGGCCAGAGGGGTTGGGGCGATGATGGGGTCCAGAAGATGAGTAATTGTGGTTGGAGGTATCGAAGGAAGACTGAGAACTGTTGAGTCCTCCGATTCCTGAAGAGGGGGAGGAGGCGACGACTGCTAGGGGGTTCTCGTGAATATTAGGGATTGAGCCTGAAACCAAAAAAAAAAAAAAATTATTATTTTCAATTTATTGGATTCTTATGCACTAATTATTGTCAATGGTTGGCACTTTAACATTGTTCGGGAATTTTTAACAGTTTTTAACCAGCAGAAAAACCCTGCCGACACCGCCAATTGATGAAATACTAACTTATTTAATAACCTGATTGATATACTTAAGTGACGAAAAAATCGGCTCAAATTAATAAAGCCCCATCGAGCTACTTTCAGTGTTTTTTAATTTAACCCATTAGAGAGGAAATTTTAGCATCCTTTTAGTGCGTTTTTAAGTCGATCTGCAGTTTTTCAAAATCTTGCAAATCAACAACTGAAATTAACTTGAGCATTATAAAAAATACAGATATAGGAGTTGCAACAAAAGAAGTGAAATCATTCGTTGCTTCTTTAATGAGGAGAAAAGGGAGCGGAACTACGTGAAATATCAAAATTAAACTAATTAATTCCTCAACTCGTTTTGCCCGAGGGTTTCAATTTCTGCCATGGTTCCAACATGAAAGAGTTTTAAGAAATCCGCGGATTTCCGATCTGAAATTGCCATAATTTGTTCTCACATCAAAAAAATCTCTGAGAAAGAAAAACGGGACAGGTACTTTGCGGTTGTTAAATGAAAATGACTAAATAGCGCAAATGGTACAATAGAAATGTTGGCATGAAGCTACCATTTTTTAATCTGAGCTAGGTAAATAGGGAATTAGGAGGCACGTTTTAAGCTTCCTTTGATCTGGGGAGTCAAAATTGGTCCAATTCACCTGGCCTTAATGTACAATGACTTCAAAACCTCAAGTAATTCAGTCAATTAGTTCAACGTTGAATTTGAGCAGAGAAAAAAGACAAAACAATTCAGTCAACTTATTCTAAAAGAATATGTCTTAAATCACGAAAAAAATTTAGTTCAGACAACATAGAGCCATGAAAAAGACTTCGCGTATATCAGGACAAAGCACTGAATGTAGCCCTATTGCCCCTTATAGCTGAAGAAAAGGTTAATACTTCCAAAAAAAATCCAAAAAAATGAAAAAAAAATATGAATGATGATTTTTTTCTGTTTTTTTTTTCTTTTTATCCCCAACACATTATGTGAAAAACAAAGAATTGCATTTAGCGTCGTATTAATAAGCCCAAATTGCTGGCTTCAATTCTAAATGCAAAGAGTTAGGTTTGCCGCTTACGCATGTCATAAGAAGGCTATAGATATGCCAAATCAGCCAAATTAGCAATATTCAAATATCAAACCCAAATATCAAACAATTCAATAACAAATATTTAACACAGAGGCAAAGCTGCACTTCGCATACACAAGCAAAAATATCACCGAAAACGCTACTGGGAAAACTGAATGAGTAAAACTTTGAGTCTACAAAATTTCTTAAGTGACGCACGCCAAATATTAGACTACATAATTGCTAAGTGACGCAAGCCAATTATGACGCATGAGCAGTACCAATCAATTTGAAAAAAAAACGAAGCTTACATGCCTCAATTTATAAAGCGCTTGCATTCTAACTAGTATACGAAAAAAACTCATGTTCGAACCCCCTTATTATGTTGCGAGTCTCCTTCCCTACTTCTACGCTACAGATCCATGATACCTTGAATCTTAACTGGTAATTGTAATATAATAGTTTTGTAACAACAATATAATAACAACAAAAATTGCAACTTGGGTTGAAAAAAAAAGATATTTGATACTATAACACAAGCTTTGCTTGTGTAAATATCAAACAATATTCAAATTTAATAAATTTGAGCTCAAGACAACGATATTTTTCAGAGGCGCAGAGGCAATTCAGCGAAAGATAATTCCGCCAATTTTAAACTCAAACAATTGAGCCGAAATTTTACACAATGTTTAATCGCAGATAAATCAGCCAGTTTTCAACAAACTGGATTTTTTATATTGAAATTGGAGTTGATTCTCGGTTTAAAACCTCGGTTTAAACTTTTTTCAAGTTACCAGAGTTTAATATACCACTTAGGTATTTAGTACTTGGGAGGATCCCCATTGATCCTGGAGATCTGCTTTCGGTCGTCTCTAGATAAAAAACCTTTTTGCTTACGTCAACTTCGAAAAAACTGAAATGGAGTGCTTCAAAATTGAAATAAGAAACAAAAAAAATAAACAATAAAATCCACGAAAAACAAGGATATCCGATTGCTGTGCGTGCAAGTAGAGAAGGTTCCGACCATATTGTTAAAAAATCTACCAACAAAATTTTTTTAAATTACAGCGTTTTTTGTTTTTGATGTGATGACAGAATCGAAATGAAAACCAAAAACTTGGATGGCAAAAAAAGGTACATTCAAAAACATTTTTTATATATAATAATTATAAGAGTTGAAATAATCAACGAAAAAGAAAAAAAAACTCTTTTGTTCTTAAAATTTCATAAGCAAGAAAACGCTAAAATAGTTTTCAATAATTGACTTCAATTGAGTAAAACTTAGCAAGGTTGGATCTAGGAATTTCTCGAGGTGGGGCCGATTTCAAAAAAATTTGTGAGCTCTCCGAAACAACTATGAAAACCCAAATTTGACCAAATTTTCTGTGCCGCAGACAAATTTCTGAAAAAAGCCAAAAATTGCGTTTTTAGGTACTTTTCGGAAAATTTCGACCAAAAAATCGCGTTTTTTCGGCGCGTGCTCCCCCCTCAAATTTAGTATAGATTGGCGCCCAAGGCGCCGTTAGAAAAATTGTAAGGTCAGTCAGCCAAAATTGGATGCCTCGAAATAGTACAAAGGGAGGCCTTTGGCTCGGCTGGGGGTCAAATCCCTGAGGGAAAAAGCGTCCGCCCAACCCCCCCCCCCCCCCCCCGCCCCCTAAATCCGCTACTGAAACTATTTATTTAACTAAATTAGGTTCAAAACTAGCAGTTACAAGCCTATTACAAACTAGAGGAAAAACCTTTATTCGCTCGAGATTAAACCAAAAATCAGAAATTTCAAACCAGTTTTTTTCTACACTGGGAAAACTTTTTTCAATGGTCAGAACAACAATTGCAAGCGATCCTTGTGTAAGTAGCACAGAAAATTTTTCCCCATGGATGGTTTCCTTGAGTCATTTTTGTGCGTACGGGGAGAAGTGGAAGGTACAGAAAGTAAGCTTGGAGGAAAACTTTAGTAATGTCATTGACAAACTTATCTTAGTAAAATCTATAATAAAACCAAAAACTAGATTTTTAAATATCTATGCTTTTTTCGAACTTTTATGTTTTGTTCTCTGTAAATAGGAAAACAAATCGAAATTAACAAACTTATTGGATTATTTTTACTATCACTCGAATTACGACTGACAAGGTTTTAATATTATATATCACTCAATCCCATCTGACATGGGTCGAGTGATATTCATGGTAGTTGTTTTGATACATGATGCGTGAACTAAAATTTTAAAGCAAATAATCCAAAACACCCCCGAAGAAAAAACTTTCGAAGTCAGAACAATTAGAGATAACTTTTCTCATTAGGTCTTCAATTACTATGATCCAAGATTTTAAACAAAATTGATAGTTGACTCCGTAAAGAGCGGAATTTTTTTGACGAATTTGACGAACTTGAAATCGTAATATGAAACACAAATCAGCTTTTTAAGCCGCCTTGAAAGTATCGACTGTGTAAGATCTTTTTACGCAGTTAATACAAAGTCACGTGCCTCTATTTATGTTTCAATAACTATAAGAAACATCACTATTTGTTTATAAAAAAAAAACTAGAAAAGGAGGCATAACAATAAAAAATACCTGTAAGAAGACAGTTTTGTATTTTTTGATCCTTAGTGGACATTGTGCTAATTTGGAGTTTAATTTTTCGTTTGTGCAGGCAAATTTTGTCTCCTTAAGTCAAAGTTCGTCTTAAGGCCTTGCAGAAATCCAGTTCAGAGTCAAAAAATATAAATCAGCTATGATCTTGAATTATTATAACTCGCAAAGTAATTCTGTCAACAAAATATTTCAATCTTTACAACTTGTCAAGTTTAAGCCTGGTTTTTACCCTGGCTGGTTTTTGCCCTGGCTTGAGTTTTTTGATGTGACGTTAGGTCTAGTTTTTATTTTGCTTTGATGTGAAGTTAAACTTACAGGAATTTTCAAAAGTTTAAATTTGTCAAAAATTTCACCAGATAAATGCTCGAACATTCATATGATTAAAATCCAACCCAATCGAGAAAATATTTTATAGAGGTTAAAAAACATAAAACATACCAGAGCACTAAAAATTGTGTTCAAAATACAAATTTAGTTCGGATAGATAGAATCAGTAAATTTGTTTCAACTAGAAAAAAAACTTTATTCTTGCAAAATGGATTCCAATTTAGGCAAAAAACATAAAATTATTCTGTTATGTTTTTATGAATTCATGTTTTATGCAAAATGGATTAAGAACTGTTTTGGATTTTTATGAATTTATATTCATGCAAAATGGATTGAATAAATACTTAATGCTTTTTTTTGGCGACCGATCAGATAAAAAAAACAGTAAAAGCGCGCATTCTTTGATCTCAATGAAAACATGGCCGCCTTGCCGCGTCAGCTTGAACAAAGACATCCCCAATATTATTTGAGATTACAGCGGAGACGTTAAACTTGAACTTGCAACCGATTCCTCCAAAAACAATGAAAAAAACCTAGTCTAATTTTACAAAAAGAAATCAAATGATTTTTTAAAACTAGCAGGCGACTAGCGGACTATATAAGACTAATACAGGTCCGCTGACTGTACTTTAGGCAGGATTAGCAAAATTCTCGACAAACTCTAATTGGAAATAAACCGAACAAAAATGCTTTGTTTATATCAAACATAAAAGCTGTTTTTGTATAAGACAATCAACAAGACACAAAAAATATATAATTTAGTGGATATGTATAACCATTTCTCAACTTGTTTCATATTTCTGTTTTTTTTTTGCTCTAAATGAATTGGAGACAACCAAATTTGCATTTGATTTGAATGTTAAATTAAAACCGTTTCGAAATTTG